TGGATAAATGTTACTTGTAACTAATTTAATGATCTGCAAGCATATTTTCATGACATTTATAAGTGAGACTCCGTTATCATTAGTAGTGTAAGGTGACGGTAAAACTATATGACAGTGATCAGTCATAATTGTCTATTGTGATATCATCTTCAATGTTACTTGGGGATGTCTCCACTTCCTCTTCCATGAAGTCCCTGGAATGGTGAAGAAGAAAAAAGACAAATAATTACACCGATAATTAATCTTCAGCAGTAGAAGCCTTACTATGAAGCAGTGCTTACTGATCAATGCTTGAATTAATTTAACTCCTCAGAAAATGGCTTATGATACATGCCATTTACTTCCTCATCAACTTTCCCCTACCTGAGGACTTGACGGATGGAGCTGCAGCAACGGAGGGAGACATGGGGGAAATTAAAAAAAAATCAAAAGACGGTTTCTTCTGGAAAACAATCTCACAACAAAAGCAGCAACAAGTTACAGTAAAATATAACCCATTTACTTTGGTGTTTTGTGCAGACAAGTGTTAGTACAATTAATATGAGACATTGTGAGAAGCAAGGGTAAGCTGACCAAATGTTGGAAAATCTGCTTTCTATGGTTCCTGGTAACTCAAACCGTACTCTTCATGTGTGACCCAGGAACACAGGATTCTTACCCTTTTTCCCCCATCAAATTAAGTTGAAAGACATTAAGGATCTGATGACGTACATACCACACAAATACAAGCAGTTCTACGTGGACCTGGTGACTGAACAGGGGGCACAGGATGCTGCAAGTCATCGTCAATGAAGCTTAACCGGACAATGATGTGCTGGATTACAAATCTTCCCCCCACTCTTCAGGCAAGCAGAAGGTCATGACTGGTTATGATGAGTGTGACTGTTTTCATTACTGTATTACCTATTCTGACTGTTTTTTATGTCATCTTTATTAAAGTTCAGCAAACTGTAGATCCATCTCATAAGATATTTTATTATTTTGTATTAATACTGTACGGGTAGTTTTTTACAATTTACAATTGGGCACACTATGGATGTTATACATTTTTCACAGACATATGTATGATGTGTTACCCCAAACCTACAAAATAAGACAAAAATGACACAATCTGATAAAATTTTGCATGGGTTATAGACCAAAATAGGAAGAAAAAAGTCAATTAAATTTTTCTCAAAACATTGCTTTCGTCAGCTCGTCCTTGATACTCACAACCCCTCATATATTATGTCAACGTTTTCTTTTTCACTTTTACTGGGCCTCTCCTGCACTGCTGGAAATGAGAGCAACAAAGACGTTTCTTCATTCATTACCAATAAATATATAGTATGTATATAAATGCAATTGTCAGTTACCAATCTTTAACTTTACTGTTTTAATAACAAGACCTCATGTGATTATATAAACATAATAAGTGAAATATAAAAATCCTGAAGTGCAAACACTGATGACAGTTACATGTTACCATAAATGAAAAACCATATTCTACTGTAACTGATTACTAAAAAAGTTATAAAGCTTAAAACATTCCTTCACCCTCACTTGGGCTGGTCTAAATACAACAGGTGTATAATACACCTCATACAGGTCAATTAAGACAAATTCACAAAGGGAAGGATGTGTGTGTGTGGGCACACACACATACATACATACACACACACCACTTACCCTACAGGTATTGGGGAAAATTGGCACATAGTATCTCTCACTACCTTCCAACTTATTTAACCTTGTGATCCTCATCACTTCCGTCAAGAGAGGAAATACAAAACTTTGTTGATGGCTGATAAGTTGTAATTGCTGGAAATGTCAATAGTGGTGCCTTACTACATGTGATTTGTGATGAGTTCAAGAAAAGCAAAAATATATTTCATGACATCAAGAATAGTAAGGATAAGTTGCTTGGTTATAAACTGAAGTTGAGGATACAGATAAACCAAGGGAAGAAAGTGTTGTGTCACCACTACTTTGCTCTATCAATGTAAAAAGTTGGCTTCAATTGTCGTACTTTCAACTATTATTTTCTCATTCTAAGACCCCTCTATTATTATAGTGAGAAAGTAATAAAAACTTTTATTATATCAAATAAATCCCTAATGCCAGTTAAAGAAAAATATTTTATATACAGTATACAGTACACTGAAGCTTCACCTAACCCACCATATTGGCTGACCTGAATCATTGTTGTAAACACTTCAGACTATACAGAAATAACTGCTAAAAATGCAACTACAGCAAATCATGCATTGCCTTCATCAGCAGCAATATACACATCTGATCATAATTGGGAACTTGCTTTAATTAAGCAATGGTAGAGCCCCTATTCTAATTATGAAAGTTTTACTGTACAGTACTGTACCTGCATATTCAAACCAGTCTATGAGAGAATTTAAGTGTTAGCTTATAATTCAAAACTTTTTCTTCTCACAGTTGGTCTAACCACAAAAGATGCTTTATGATGCAAAAAGAAATTGGAATAGAAAAGGTAAAACCAATTTATAGAGGAAATGCTGTACTCAAAAGGAGAGAAAAATGTGTATCCACAGAGTGTCTGAAGAATTAAGTCCTGATTTTATAAAATACCATACAGAAATTTCAGTTGGGTAAGAGTGATTAGGAGAACCTACAAATGAAAATAAAAGTAAAATACAGTGGTCCCTCGATTAACAAACACAACTGGTTCCACAGACTCGGTTGTTAACAAAAAATTTTGTTAACTGAATCTATTATTTCAATGGGATATTGGGTAATTGGTTTATAATTGGTTTCAACTCACAGAAAAAGTATACATACAAAGTACTGTATAAGAACATAAGAATGGAGGAAACTGCAGTGGGCCTATTGGCCCATACTGGGCAGTCCCTTAGTGACCTCACTGAGTGAGGACATGTCTCCTGGCACTCAGTAGCAGCCAAGGTCATCACGTCAACCTGTAGTTACTTAAGGCAGTTAGTACTTTTACGGGTAGACAGTGCGTAAGTGCGTATTCTCAAGGTGTCAGTGACTGTAAGTGCCAGACTTGTGAATATGTCTGTTCCAGTGGCACGATATCGTCCTACCGACCTGTTTCGGCTGAAGTCTGGTGCTGGCTATCCTCCACCCCATACCATCACTCTACTAAAGGCACTGAGAATCTTCCACAACCGCGGCTGCAGACGGGGTCTCCACATTCCCAGACAAATCCTTATCATCACACTGAGCAAGCATAGGAAAGTCAAGCCAGTACTTGAAAGACAGTGCACTCGCTATGAAGTGCCGCGACTATGGTACAGCCTACCATCCCTACTGCTGTCCAATGTCACATCTTTATGCAACAAGGTGGAGGAGGTCAGTGTCACAGTGAAGTCAGTTGGTGCAGGTATTGTGGCGATTACTGAGGCGTGGCAAATTGTTCCTGAGATCTGTGCCATAGAAAACTATGAGTTATTTCACCACCTTAGAAAGGACAGGAGAGGTGGGGGTGTAGTTCTGTACTGTCGCAGTGGCCTCAAACCATCACCCCTAGGTGTTAATGTACCTGAAGATGTAGAAGCCTTGTGGGTTCAGGTCACTCCCACCTCCCACCCCTGCCAGCTTGCCTCCCTCATTGTCTGTGTTTGCTATCACCCCCCCGCGCACCAACCGCCAATGTACTGATTACTCATATTATAGACACTGCTGACTCCCTGAGATCCAGATTTCCATGTGCTAAACTAGTGATATGCGGTGACTTCAATGAGTTAGACATCAGTGACATCACCCAACACCTCCACCTTACACAAATAGTTGACTTTCCCACACATGGCAATGCCACCCTTGACCTCATCATGACTGATCTCGGTAACCACTACCTTCCCCCCCAGCCGCTGCCTCCCATGGGACGCAGCCCCCACCTGTCCCTACTGTGGTCACCTACCCCCACCTTCTCACCACCGCCAGTTGCCACCAGGACTTACCGACCCACCCCCGACTCTGCTATGCGGCGTTTTGGACAATGGATAACCCGGTATCCCTGGACTGAAGTGATCACGGTAGACGATGTGCAGAACAAGTGGGATAATTACCTGGACACTATCACCAAAGCCTACCACCACTTCTTTCCAGCCAAAACACTGAGGATCCACCCCGATGATGTCCCGTGGATTATGCCCCGCATAAAAAGACTTATTGAGCAGCGCAACAAGGCATACTACACCAACAACCGCCTGTACAAAAGTCTACGTAACCAGGTCATCAGGGAAATCAAGTCAGCCAAGAAGACTTATTATCCCAGGAAAGTGCACAGCCTCAAGGAAGTCGGCATCGGTCAGTGGTACTCCAAGGTAAAAGATCTCTGTGGTCTCAACCGTCAGTCTCCCACACTTCCTTTCATCTCACATTTACCTAGTGAGGAGGCAGCTGAGATAATTAATAACCATTTTGCTACCATATGTCATACCTTACCCAGTCTTGACCTCACTCTCCTCCCAGCTTACTTACCTTCCCCCTCCCCCCCTCCCAGTGTTCAACCATATGAAATTGCCAACAAACTCCTGAAATTTAAATCCAAACGCTCCACGACCCCAATTGACCTCCCAATCAAAATATACAAGGAGTTTGCAGTCGAACTTGCCACCCCCCTCTGTTCTATTATTAATGCATCCCTCAGACAAAGCAAATGCCCTAATGAATGGAAAACCGCATTTGTCACCCCCATCCCCAAGGTCACCACCCCACAGTCCCCTAACGACCTCAGGCCAGTTGCCATTACCCCCATACCCAGTCTACTTTGTGAGGACTTTGTTTTTGAGTGGGCATTTGCCAGTATCTATCAGTCAAGTGATCCACAGCAATTTGGCAATATGAGGACCTCCTCTACATCACACTGCTTGGTGAGCTTTCTGGATTTTCTGCACAAAAACTTGCAGAAACGTAAGACATCACTGGCCGTTGCCCTTGTGGACTTCAGGAAGGCCTTTGACCTTGTTGATCACTGCACTGTTATCAACAAGGCCATTGCACTAGGGCTGCCCACCAACCTGGTCTCATGGCTCACTGATTTCTTGAGTGGACGTCGCCAGGCAGTGAGGTATCAGAGCTTGGTCTCCACATTCCAACACCTCACCTGCGGTGGAAGTACATAAATGACTGCACTGGATGACTGCACTGTGGGGGTTTCAGTGGACAACACCGCACCAGACTACTCATCGCTACAGGCAAGTGGGTGCACCATCCACCACTCCAGTGCAAGCCCCAGCAGTCACAGTGGGTGCCCATCCTATCCAGCTGGTGCTGCCAAACTCCTGGGTGTAACTATAGACAACAAACTTGACTGGAAGGCCCATGTAAATAACACAGTCAAGGCAGCCTCGTACCGTCTCTACATGCTACGAAGACTTAGGTCACTTGGGACACCCACGCCAGAGCTGAGGACCATCTACAACGCCTTTATTCTCCCCAAACTAACGTATGCGTCACCAGCCTGGTCGTCTTCTCTCAACTCCACCCAACAATGTCAGCTGGAGAAGGTACAGAAAAGGGCCTGCAGAATCATGCTCGGCGCAGAATACTCCGGCTACACCAACGCTCTCTCCACCCTGGAAATGCCATCCCTCGGTGACCTCCACCACCAAGCACTGGAAAGGTTTGGCAGTGGACTACTGCACCACCCTCGTCATCGCCACCTCCTGCCACTGGCAGCCCCCCACCCACCTCGCGCAGTCCGCCACTACAACAAAATTCAGCCCATAAGAGCCCGCACCGATAGATATAAGAATAGCACCATCCCATCTATTGTTAAAATAATAAACAACTCCTGATTTATGTACTGTACAGCCCTGTCAATGTATTCAACGCATATCATTATGTCTAAATCACATGTAAGTTTGTATATTTTCAGCCACCGGCTGCAACTCTATTAATAAATCGTTTATTAATATTATCATTATTACATTTACACCCAACCCCTATTGCTCATATATACATCCAACCTATGTTTGAAGCTATCCAGTGTATTCGAGTTAATGATGATATTTGGTAACTTGTTCCACTCGTCCACTTCTCTATTTCCAAACCAATGTTTATCTATTTCGCACCTAAATCTGAATTTGTCTAATTTAAAACCAATGTTATGAGTTCGCTCCTGGTTGGATAGTTTGAGTACCTTTGTAATGTCCCTTGTTCAACCCCGATTTCCATTTATACACCTCTATCATATCGCCCTTCACTCTACGTACAGTATACTGTATTTTAACTTACTTTGAGGTGTGTATGTCGTATTCCCGGCCGCTTTGTTTACATATCAAACAGCTGATTGTAGAGGCAGTCGATGATGACATGCCATATTCTTTACAGAGTGCATTGGTTCTAATGCCTTCTTCGTGTTTCATAATAATTTCGGCACTGTATATTATCAATATGTTAACTAAATTTCAGAATGACCAATAATTTTAATGTAAAAATACAAAAATATTCAAGAGACCAACAAACTCGATGTTTACTCCACTGTAAACAAAGTTAAACTGAGAAGCATTGGTGGGCGATTTGATCAGCTGATGGGCGAACAAAAACTGTTCCCTGTACTGTATATATTTTCAATATGCTAACTAAATTTCAGAATGACCAATAATTTTAATATAAAAATGCAAAAATATTCAAGAGTACAGCTTTCTTGATATTTACTCCACTGGAAATGAATGTAAACATAGAACAGATTACTGTATTGGCGGACTAGCCGATCAGCTGAACAGCTGATACGCACAACAAAGCGTGTTTCTCGTAAAGCTGTCGTTAATCGAAGTTTCGTTTGTTAATGGAACTGAAAATCCTTATGGGAGCTAATTCGTTAATGGAAATTTCGTTAATTGAACCGTTCATTAATCAAGGGGCCACTGTACTGTATATGAATTCATGTCCTGATATATTTTATTAAGTTTTGCAATGCTAATTATAAGCCACCTATGCTTTTCTGATGGCACTCTCTGGAGTTTTTTTATTTTAGAAAGATTAAATTCGCTAAATGCATTCAATTCAAATCCCTAAAGAAAAGGGTTTGTCAGCCCAAAGATTACAAAGGCCTTACCATTTCAGCCTAAATATAGGTACAGTACTCATGAACATGTTGATTAAGGATCTGTGGTTAAAAATTTACCCACATCAAAAGTTCATAAGCAATACACAAACAAATCCATTTTATTAGTCAAAACACATGACAAACATGATTAAAGGTCTATGATTATAGATCCACCAAACAGCATTTCCCATCAACCAAAGAAAGCCAGCAAGATGCATGAGTTTTACACTACAGAAGGTCCAGGGAAGGGATGTCTGGGGTATGGGTGAGATGTAGAGTGAAGAAGTTCTACAGCACCTGGTGGTTCTTGAGGGAATGCATATTGGTGGAACAATAGTACACAGCTCTGCTAGACATCATACAGCTAAAATATCAAAAGTAGTGAGAAAACAAGAGATAAGATGGCGTGGTTAAGTATCCTAATTGCTTTTTGTTGAGACTGAATCACATTGACCAAGATTATTATACTATTATATCCAACAGCACAAATGGTAGTCAACTGTTCATCCTTTTACTGTGGGTTATTTTAAATTAGGATTACCTTAAGCCTTTTATTATTATTTATTCCTGAAATTTATTAATGTCACTGAAGTGCCCTGTAGCAACCAAAAAAAAATCCAATGAGGCAAAGTTAACTCAACAGCTATCCAATGTTAAGTGACCAAAAACTTCATTCAATGCATTAGAAAGAATGTGGTAGACCAAGACTCTCCTAACACCATCACACTACACTCCTACTTCCCAGTGGACACACCAGTCAGGAAAAGAAGCTCCTACTCCTCCTATTCTACAAGAGAGATATTAAGTGGAGATGATGGACAACCACTAGGAACTGAGCTTCAAACCAATAACATAGTCCTGTACCTTCATGGTAGTGAAGTTGCATCACTAACAAAATATAAATAATTCCCATATTCAGTGTAATATCCTTAAAAATTTTAATATAATTACAAGATTAATTATAAAAGCATTAGCAAAGGACAGTGATACAATCATTATTAATTACAATTCCATGTTGCATTTTTTCAAAATTGACAGGATTATGTAAAGCTTTGAGAACAAGTAACATTTATGGACACCTGAGTAGTGAGAGATGCATGGGCCTGGTTCTACTCAGCACCAAGTACTGTACAGTATTTTGTGCATAACATACAGTACCACCTATTTGTAAAATCCCTTTAATTTAAGTTTTTGTGTTAAACTACTATATACGGGCATTCAGAAGGCATCTGTTGTAACTAGACCAGCCACCCAGAAGATAAGAGTTCTGAAAGGGAAAAGCAAAAAGCACAAAACTCCAAAGGCATCAAAATCCAGAAAAAAAACTAATAATTAGCCAACCGTTTAGGGATGTTCTTTGTAGAGGCAGTCAAAGATGTTTTTGTATCAGCCAATCACCAGTTGGTTGAGACTTTGTCTTGGCACAGCTGTGAGTGCGAAATGAATCTGAATTAAACAAATTCACTTCATGGCAAAGAATGAAATGTATACAGAAAACAAAAAGTTCACATAACATCCAACATCAAGTACCTCCTCTAGCAGTCTGTGCCATCATAAAGAAAGATAATACAGTAGCAGATGGGATGAAGACTAAAGCTAAGATGGAATGACAGAGTGAAACAGTGTGTCAGGAAGTGTTGGTAACTAGTTACATGGGCAGAGATGTGTGATCACTGTGGTGTAAAGAAGAAAGTGACAGAGACAGGGATATATACAGTAATCTGATGAGAAACAAAAGAAAAATTGTTGAAGAGAAATTTAGATAACAAGAAAGTGAATGACTATGTGGAAGAAATATGAGTATAATTATTTTCATAGAAGAAAGTGAAGAAGATCTGAGGAAAGAAAAACATGAAAAAGTGCTTCAACAGAGGAACTAAATACAATCAGAGGCGTGTTGAAGAAACAAAAGAACAAAGGGGGTTAATAGTGTGTGGAGGTGTCCCAACCTGCTGTATAGTGGGATTTTGCAAATTAGAAGAAAGGAAAAAAAAATCTGGATTTAAATGCAACTCAACTAAACAAAATTAAATTTGATAAAGAAAAAAAAATAAATAGCAGCGCTGGCTTCTCTACTAGTACAGTTCCTGTAAGACCTATCTGATCAACTTTACTTACCCCTCCATAATATTGTCAGAAAATAGTTGATTGGGTAATGTAAGTGACACTGTTGTGGTGGTGAAGTCATTCATGGGTTGTCTGGCAGCGAGTCGGCGTTCAACTTCTTCACGGCTCAGCTGCCCATCGCTCGTATGTGCACCGGGCACCCCACCTCCAACGATGTGCCGTCGGACCGACAACTGAAAATAATGCAGGATCATTGTGATTTAGCTGATGCCGATATAAATTAAAGATAAAAAAAAAAGTTGTCCTGTATAACAATATATAATCCGTACCAGTTCTCTGTTATTCATTGTTGATAAGAACAAAAACTTCTTCAACACCTGGGCACGATGGATGTGAGAATTAGCAGAAAGGGGCTTGTCATATCGGAATGGTTTCATATTCTTCGTTCATTTTTCAGATTGTATAGTGCTTATAGCGTTCAAGAAGTTTTTGGTGAGAGTGTACCTGGACATGTGCCAGTGTTAGTCAAGTCTGGTCTTAAAGAAGCTCCCTTGGCAAGTTATTCACAAGTCTTATTCTACCTTACAATAATACAATTATCTCTGTGAACTTGTCAGACCCAAGTATTATCAACTTTCACTTACTGCTGCTGCTGACCCTGGAGGCAGATGTGCACTAGTTAATTTCCGCATTGGTGCTGTATTGCTGGGGCTGTTAGTGTTATTATTGGCGGGGATACCACTGGCACTGGTGGTTGCTTGGATACTGCTATTACCACTATTACTCCCTACAATGGCTGTGCCCAATGGAATCTGCCAAATGAAAAAAATTATGACACCAGGATAATAATTCAATAGATTGGACACCACTACGGTATTATTTACTTAAAACAGCAGTGCCTTAATGTCTGCCTGAGAGAAAAGAATGTCAACCAATCAGAAGTTTAGTTACTGAATATGAACTATTACTGTACCATTTATTTATTAAGGTGTCACTGTCTTTTAATTAACTTACCTAACTTAAAGTCATCTATCCAACATTACTTTTCAATAAGCACATAACACTTAGTGACGTCTGTAAAAAAAACAAAATGTTTTTTAATCTTAAACCTCCAACTAAAATACAGGGAGTCCTTGCTATATGTTGGACAAACACTCCTCAACACATTAAAGTACTGTACTGTACAATACAGTACAACAAAACTTAAAGCATTTAACAACTACCACTTGCTGGGCATTTCAACTCATATCCACATGGTTCTTACAAAGTTCTAATGATGAAATAACATTAAAAGGTCACTCAAAATAAACCAATGCTATGTGGAGCACCAGGGGCAACTGTGATGCAGAGTGAACACTACTAACTTGTATAATGTTTCTCTCTTTATGCTTTCATTAATGCTATTTGTTTTCTTTTGTTAGTGATGTTTATATGTCAACAATCTCAAGTTATACGGTTACATTTTTAATGTTACTGTTAGAGTTTCTTATTTTTAGTATTTTCAACATCCCGGGATTCCGGGACAAAACCAATGCTTGTCCCGGGATCCCAGGATTTCCAGGTTTATGTAAATAAGGGTTCTTATTTAAACTATACAGGTAAACCTCAATTTACGGTGGAGTCATGTTCCTAAAAACTCCATTGCAAATCAAAATATCGTATATCGAGTAATTATAACATGAGGTTCAATGGGATATGTTCCCAGCCAGTATAACACACACATATATAAAAAGAAATTCTACACTTATAAAATACTAAATAGAAACAATTAAACAACACTCGCCACATCATTGAGAACAAGCCTGGTTGCTTCACAATGCAAAGTTTCACTTCCATAGAGTTTTCCTGGGCGCCTTGGTCTTCCCAGACACAGGAGCCTCAGCAACACGCTTGCTAGACATAGTCACAAAAACAGAGCAAAAGCACTTCACAATCACACAAAAGTACATTCTGAACGTAATTGATGTCGACTCATTGTAAGAAAAAAAATCTATGAAAATGTAACAACTATGATAGTGGCCAACACTATTAACATCATGTTCACAAAAACAGAACCAGAGCACTTTACAGTCACAAAAATATAGCAAAAATCACTTCACAGTTCACAGTCACCAAAACAGAGTACAATCTGAACATTAGTGATGTTCTCTCACCGCCACGGAAAAAACCCACATGATAAGTAACAACAACGATACCGACCATTTAATGAGAATTTTTTTATCATAAATAGGGATGTGGTCTTAAAACATCACCAGCATTAAAGTTTTTTGGTGTTAAACCTATGGAATTTACATATCAGTAACATGGTAGATCCCATGTAGATCAATATATTGTATATTGCTGTAACTATTCACTCTAATATCAAGTACTACTGTATTTGTTTTATCACTCTTCATAAATCAGGCATATAGTGAACAACAGGAGTAGGAATATTGTGAAACTCAGTATAAATGAAACTCCATTACACTGTACTATAAAAAATTACATGATGGTGAAATGTACATTTTGAGGTTTCAGTCTCAGTTATGATGTTCTAAAACACTTCCATTTAATGTATATTTCAGTGTTATTGTAATCATCAGTCAGTGGCTTGTTTACTTACACCTTGTTTCTACCCAGCATGATACAGTGGGGTATGCTATAACGAACGGATCCTACTACGAATATTCCTATAACGAACGGTTTTACCTATAAAATTGAGAATGCTATAACGAACGCAACTCCTACAACGAACGCGGATGAATACGGGACTATTTCGCCTGGCGCATGAATATTGTTGTACCGCGACCCACAACAAGCGTCAGGCGCCATCTTTGTCTCATTGTGTAGCCAGTGCACCACTGTTATTGTTGAAATTTCGTCTTTTGATGTGGAATTCACGTTATTTGTATAACTATTTTGTTATACATGTATACAATTGTAACAATGAATTGTCCAGCAGTGAGAAAGCTAATAACCCTTGAAACTAATTAAGAAATTATAAAGAAACGTGAGAATGGAAGAAGTATTGAAACTTAGTGATGTATGGGATGGCTAAATCGACTATATGTACGTTTTGAAGAATAAAGAGGAGTTAAAAACTGTGCAAGTGGCTAGGGAATCTTTAGACTGCAAAGCAGGTGTAATGTGATTGAAGAGATAGAAAATTTACTCTTAGTGTGGATAAAGGAGAAAAGAAATGGCAGGTGGTAACATGAAGCTATAATTTGTGAGAAGGTAAACAATTGTTTGAGGACCTTAAAGCCAAGACTCCCAGAGTGATAGTGCTGTGCCAGTGTTTAGGGGTACCTGCATGCTGAATAACACTAAGGTAAGATAAAAGTACCTTATTTTTTACATTTTCCACAGAATTTTTTCAGTGTTAAGTGGTTGTATTTGGGGGCCTGGAACGGATTAATCCTATAACAGATGCTATAACGAACGAGGTTCTGGAACCAATTACGTTCGTTATAGCATACCCCACTGTACATACATACATTTATGTACCCCTATCTCTAGCTGTTGCTGATATGGCGAATTGGTACAATTTATGATGATGGACTGGGGATCATATCTAATATTTTGTCTAGGTATCATGTCTAATATTTTGTCTAGAGTTTCAAATTGTAGTGATGGAAAATCTAGCTTTACTTTTTGGGTGACTACATTTAAAAAATATTTACGTTTGTACAGTAATTATAAATAGATTTTTTTATGTAGCAGCCAAGGCATAGCAAGGTGCAAACACTGAACAGAAATAAAATGAATTATCGAACAAAAACATTCGGAAATTGTCTAATATTGTACTGTCAAAATATTCTTAACTTGGACAAATTGTATTTTTTGGCAATTCAAGTAACCCAGAGCCCCTTTTTAGTCAAATTAACGTGGGTATAGTGTACAATACTACAGTAATAACTCCGTTAGCCAGAATCCCACAAACTTGGAACTCTCTGATGACGGAATTGACATTTTCTCGGAAAATCTTTCCCAAAGCCAGTTTTCCGGAAAATTCCGAGAATATTTTCCCAATACCCAGAAAATTTCGAAAATATTTTCCTGATACCTGGAAAATTCGGGGAATGGGGGAGTTTTTTCCGGGTTTGAGAGATGAAAATCAGGTGCATTTTCCTGAATTTAGAGAAAAAATTTCCAGAACCCGGAAAATTCCAGGGATGGGGGATATTTTTCCGAGTTCTAGAGATAATGTAATGGGCAATTTCTGGAACTTCCTGGCACATTTTTCCGTTACCCGGAAAATTCCGGGGACGAGGCATTTTTTCCGGCTTTGAGAAAGACGTCCTGTTACCCAGAAACCCCTCATTCCTGGAAGTGCTTTGCATCAATTATTCCAGCTTTTGGAAATATAACACTATCTTTGTCTGAACCAACTCAGGTTGTACAGTTGAACCTCGATTTACGCGGTTCTCGTTTACGCGTTTGGTCATTTACGCTGTATCTTGCCAGAACCGGGATGTCCGATTTTACGCGGTGAATTTACTCATTTACGCGGGTGAAGTATAATTTGTTTATTTAATGAAGATATATATGTTTTTAGCTCATAAAATATAGAATTTACATTGCTGGAATCCGTACAAGATGGTGATCATTTTAAATATAAACATCTTAACATTTGCATTAGACATACAAATTTTAGATGTAATTTAAGGAGATCATGAAAATAAGCAAATATTTTATCTTTTGTGCAAAATATATGAAGTTTACATTCAAAATATTCCCTGACCTGCAAGGAATCCAGAAATGTCAATTATATTACCCTAACTTTAGTCTGAGGTATTATTTATTACTAAAAATGTAAATATACTGTTTTCTCCCAAACATTTCTCTGGTAGGGAGGGAAGGTGGGGGGTGGGGGGTAGGGAGGGAAGGAGGGATCCAGCAAGTGTGGGAAGAGGGGGGAGGGGGGGGAGTGGAGGGGGGGTGTGGAGGTGGGGTATTTTGATCGACAGATAGTGTCTGGGTGAATAATAATTTGTTTATTTACTGAAGATATTTGTTTTAGCTCATAAAATTCATACAAATTACCCAGCCAGAATATAATTTACATTGCTGGAATTCTTTTAAGATTTTGATTATTTTAAATATAAACATCATGGAATTTGCATTAGACATACAAATTTTAGATCTAATTTAAGAATTTTGATTACAAAGCGAAAATTTTATCTTTTGTGCAAAATATATGAAGTTTACATTCAAAATATTCCCTGACCTGCAAGGAATCCAGAAATGTCAATTATATTATCCTAACTTTAGTCTGAGGTATTATTTATTACTAAAAATGTAAATATACTGTTTTCTCCCAAACATTTCTCTGGCAGGGAGGGAAGGTGGGGGGTGGGGGGTAGGGACGGAGGGAGGGAGGGGACCCAGCGAGCGTGGGAAGAGGGGGGGGGGAGGTGAGGTATTTTGATTGGCAGATAGTGTCTGGGTGAATAATAATTTGTTTATATACTGAAGATATTTGTTTTAGCTCATAAAATTCATACAAATTACCCGGCCAGAATATACTTTACATTGATGGAATTCTTACAATTTGATGATCATTTTGAATATAAACATCATAGATTTTGCATTAGACATACAAATTTTAGATCTAATGCAAGTACAGTTGTACCCCACTTAACGCGGTCAATTGAACCCAGAGGGTCCCGCGTTAAGTGAACAACAGAACATATGGGATTAATTCCAATAGAAACCGGCCCGACCCCCAAACTCCACTTTTTGAAGGCACATACTGTACCTATGTTGTAGTAAAAATAACATCTTAATTTTATGATGGTACATGCACACAATTAATACTTAAGAGAAATAG